GGAGGGTGAAAAATGGCCGAAAATGAAGGCAAAAATCAGCTGGCCAGCACGTGCATGCACACTGGAGCTAACAGGGCAATGCTCCGCGTGCCACCTGCGGCATGCCTGCCATAGGTTTGCCCTCACGATACTAAGCACTAGTCTGGCCCGGGCCCTTGGGATGCTTGACAGTCTGGCTCTGTAGGACTCGCCAGAGGCAGGCAGGCATTTCTTCTCGGGGGCAGAGGGGAGCCTCCGCTTTTACTGACCTTCTCCAGGGGAACGCAGTAGAGCTCCGGGACCAGCCGCAGCCCATCCTTCCCCTTGATCAGGACCCCTTCAAGAGCTTCGCGGTACTCCTGGACCTGAAGAGACACGTGGGAAGAGCCCGGTGTTCACAAAGGCCCAGGTGGATGCGGGACCCCCTGTCCTGGACAGCCCCCTTCCCCCCTGGATGCTCCAGCGCAGCACTCTACCCGGCTCACCTGCTCCACATTGCCGCTGAATAGGCCGTCGATGATTAGGTAGGTCCAGAAGAGTGGCCACTCGCATTCGATGTTCTCAAAGAGCTTCAACTCCGCAGGCTCGTAGTAGAGGCGGCTGGGGTCCTGCAAAGGATGGCATTGGGGGGAGGGAGGCATCACTGGGGGAGCCTGGAAGCATCCCGCTTCCTTCCTCAAAGGCCGCACTAGAAGCTGCCGAGGGCACGACCCACTTTCCAAATATTCACCCGTCTTGTTGCTTTTTCACAAACAACCCAACAGACCACATTTCTCCTAGCAACAAAATGTCGCCAGCTGCTCAACAAAGCACAGGTCGGCTTCTTCCACCCACCCTGTTCAGTCCTGGCGCGCAACGGCTTCGCTTCTGTCACAGGCAGCTTCCAAAAATGCAAAGGCTCACCTGGCTGCGTGTGGGGCCCGACCCATGCCAAGCAGCGTGCTGCAGCGGACTGCCCAGGGACAGGCGGCTCAAGGCAGGGCAACTTGGGGCCTGGGACCGGCACGTTGGAGCTTACCTCCTTGGGAGTTCTGTAGCCGTCGCGAAGGAACCGGCAACAACCGTAACGGCCCTGAGAACCAGAGGGGACCCGCGTCAGGCTCTTGGAGAGCCCAAGGAAAACAGCTTGATTGGCAGCCAAGCCACCCCCATCGCCGCAGCCCGGTAGCCAAGGGCAGAAGAGCTTGCCTGCAGCTTGGCAATGATCTCCTCCTTGGTCTTCTCCACCACATCCCTGTCCTCCACAGCAAACGCCGGGTAAGAAATGACCGAGAGGAGGCTGGCGTCAATCTCTTTGGAGGTGGAGGCCCTCGGCAGCATGGAGTGCAGGATCGACTGCCGAGACAGAACCAGAAGACGTTGGGTGAGGCAGGCCGGCAGGTTGCAGCCCTTCACGCAACTGACAGCGTCCGGATGGTCTGGGCGGCGGCACAGGACAGGTACCAGGTGTTGACGGGGGGCCTGGCAGGCAGATCCAAGGGCCCGCCCTGAAGTGGGAACCTCTGCCAATCTCAGCTGCCTGCGCCCTCTCCCCCTCAATCCAAGGCCTCTGGGGAGGGGGGGTCCAGCCTGCCCCTCACCTGGCAATACTGCACCTCATCCGGCAAGACGTGGATCACTGACTGTGGGCTCCCCTCGGTGCCAAAAAGGTCAAATTCATCCAAGGCCTCCAGAGCTGCCTGAGAAGCATTGGAGACAATCTACAGCTAGCAAGCTGGGCACAGTCCCTCCTGAATCCTAACCCTGAGGCCTCTGGCACAGCAGAAGGTTTGGGAAGGGGACGGCAGATGAGCTGCTAAAGAAATCTCGCCCCCCCCCCGCCCCCACCTCCAGCAGAAGCAGCAGGACTCAGGGGGGCCAAATGCTTCTGCCCTGGGACACCTGCAGCTCCCTAACATTGGGAATAGCTTTGGGGAGAGCGAGGTTTCGGAGAGTGCGTCCTACACCTACTGGACCACGAAAAGCCTATGAGGCACCCTGCCTGCTGCTCCACAGTGGGATTGAGCCCCTCCAGCAGCCCCCTCACCTTTGCCATGCCCACCGAGCTGGCATTCAGCTCCGTAATTCCTTGGTTTGTCTTGTCGCCACGCTCCCATATCCCAAAGTCCTGTCGAAACAACACGGCCGTGTGGATAATGCCCGAAGACACAGAAGGCTTATCGCTCTTGGCAGGGAGGTCCGGAGCATTCAGCTGCCCATTCGGGCACCAAAGGAAAGCAGCCCCATGGAGGCCCCATTGGTCTGCCCAATGTGGGTGCCTAGCCAGGCTGCCAGATTGTACCCTCCCCCCCCCCAGCTTCGACTCCACCCCCCAAAGGCAACAAACGTCCCTGGGAAAGCAGCCATGCTTTTTCAGCCAGGGAGCAGCTTTCTTCCCGCTTCTTCTGCTGGATCCCAACTGGCCGAAGCCCTTTGACTTCGGTTGTCCCAAAGTTCTCGCCGATGAAAGCCGTCCCCCCACTAAACCTGCCCTCTGGAAGTAGCGCTCCCCACGGCTTCCTCCCCCTCGGGTTCCCAGAGCAGCAAGCCGCGCCCCGCTCACCGCAGTCTTGTATGCGGTCTCGATGTAGAAGACAAGATTTTGGACGAAGCTGACTTCATCCAGGTTGTGGATGATGTGAAGGCCTGGAAGAGAGAAGATGCCAGGCGCAGCTGGGGCCCTTCTCTCCCTGCTGTGCTCTGCCGCGAGGCCAGAGGAGAGCCGGGGTTGCCCCCAGCGCTCATGCAGAGCCCGTCCCTGCCCTGAAGAGGAGGTCACGGAAGGACTTACCAGAGGCCGTCATCTGGGCCAGCATCAGCAGGTAGATGGAGGTGGCGTCCAGCTGCAGGTGGCCCCACTGGTCGTCTCCCACCACGGTGGCACAGGTGCTGGTATTGTACTTGGCGTGCAGGCAGTCCTTGGGGCTCTGGCTGTATTTGAAGTCCTCCACTTTGTCCACCTGGACAAGGAACAGGTGGCCAAGAGGAGTTGGCTGCTCTGGCAGCTATCCTCAGCGAGCGGCTGGCAAGCCACTGGTTGGTCTGCAGAAGGCCAGGAACGAGCCGGGCAGAAACCCAGGGACCCACCTTTGCCCTGGGGCCAGGAGTAGCACAGCCCTTGCCAGCCCTCCTGCCCGTCAAGGCCCCCTACCTGCCGCATCATGCACTGCAGGAGGCCCCTCATCAGCTTCACGACGCTCTGCAAGAGGAGGAAAGGACAGAGCAGCGGGTCGGACAGCGGCCAAAGAGGCGAGGTGACCTTTCCGAGGTCCGGCTTGTAACCAAAGCCGGCTCATCTGCTGCAGATCTGTTCTTGAGTTGCTGCTGATGCAGCCCGGCTCTCGCCGCCCGTATCTCTGAAGCCCCATTTCCTGCGCTTGTATAAGGCACAGGTCAAATGATCACCCTCCCACCTCCTGCCACTTGTCCTGCCATCATAAATAGAACCCCTCCTCCCTCGAAAGAGCTGAAGGATACTTGGACCGGCACTCGGGTTCCCTGGGCTCGATTCCAGCCAGCACCCCAGGCGCTTGGCCTCCAGGGTGGGTGAGGAAGAGGGAGAGCAGCCGCCCCTAAGGCCAGGCCCAGGTGAGGACCGGCCTCAGAGGACAGCCCTGGCCCCCAGATCCCGTGTTACCAGCCTGACCTTTACAGGCAGGGGATAAGGTTACTGGTGTCACTTCAGGACACCCGTGGGGCCAGGAGGGAGGCCTGCTTGTCCCAGGATCCCCCCTTTCTAGCAGCTGAGGCGAGGCCCGTCGGCTCTTCTGCAGGAGAGACCCTTCCCCTCCTGCATGGCTCCTCCTGGGGGCCGCAGGGCAGGGCTGAAGCTTCTGCCCCCAGGAAAGAGAGCTTCTGTCCCCCAAACCTCACCAGTTGAAAGCTGCTCTAATGGGGAACTGTGTGAGACGCACCTCGCCTACTCAGCCCCCAGGGGGGGGGCGAAACGTGTCAAGGGCGCTGAGAAAGCAAAATCCCACCAGCCTCCCCCCCCCCCGGCTCTTTCCACCCTATCCGCAGGAGGGGTTGCTCCGCAGCTGTTCTAGGCTGGCCGGTGAGAGAGGATGAGGGCTTTGCAATGGGCGGCCGGCCAGCCACACACACACACACACAAACACACACACCTCCCCACTGCTGGCAATACCTGCTCCAATTCGTAGGATTTGGCCTTGTCCTCATCGCGGTCCGCGTTCTTCCGGTAGGCCAANGAGCATGATAGTGTAGAATAATCATATCCAACGACCAGTGGTGGGTTTCAAAAAAGTTTGGAACCTCTTCTGTAGGTGTGGCCTGCTTTCCAGGTCCACTGGTGGAATCTCTTCTAATCGGTTCGGTAGATTTGACGAAGCGGTTCTACCGAATAGGTGCAAACTGGTAGGAACCCACCTCTGTCCAGCACCCAGTTTTCCCTTCTTCCCCCAAATCAGAGGCCTCACTTCGTCTTTAGCAAAACAGAAACTACATTTATTGCAGGTTCTCATTTAAATACACCATTTAATAAATATTAAAGTTTTCCCAAGTTATGGCAGGTTTTTTTTTCTTTCTGGCCAGGTAGGCGACAAGTGCAAAGAAATTAAGTAGCACCCCTTAAGATAACCATGGACAAGGCCACAGAAGCACGGGGAGGGCCAGGGGAGGTGGAGGCCCCCTGCTCCATCTTCCAGTGGATGACAAGGCCAAGGCACAAGGCCAAGGCAGGAGCTCCCTCCCGCCCAAGACTCTACCAAGCCTAGGACAGGAGGGGAGGGGGGTGCCAACTAAGCCCCCAAAAGCCACCTCTCCTGGGCAGGCCCCCAACCCACTATGATGCAGCCACACGCCTAAACGCCCTTCTCCCTTGGTTTAAAAGTCCCCTTTGCTTCCAGAACAGCCTCTTCGGGGAATCAGAGCGCCTCCAGGGGGCTCTTCCCTCACCCAAAGGTCTTATTTTCAAATTCTTTCAGGAATTCCCTGCTTGGCATCTCCCAGGGGTGTGTGCGCCTTCATTTGAAGAGAGGTAGAAGCAGCAGAGCAAAAAACTGGCCACACAGTAGCACCCCTTAAGCAACAGGAACAGAAAAGGGGGGTTCAAGTAGTCCAGAGATCACACAGTTCTTGCTGGAGGAAGGGGCACTGGCTGGGGACGGGGGGGGGGGAGAAAAGGTCTTCTGGTGGTGGGGGGAGAAACCTGTGGCTGGAATACCCGTATACGCATTTTTTGTTCAAGCTGCACTGCAGAATTCAGCCACCCTGCTGGGCCAAAACGGACAGTGGCTCCGGGCATGAAGATGCTCAGGCAGGCAGGCAACGAGACAATCGCTGGCAAGGGAAACCAGAAGGACTCTTTGGGCCTCAGCCTCCTGCCTCCTATGGGCCCGCCTGCTTCACCGCAGCCCTTCCCGGGAGTGCTAGCTGCGATTCCTTCACCTATCCTCCACCGAGCTCTGGCAAGGTGAAATCATTCCAGGAGTTTAAAAAAAAAGGAAGAGGAGGAGAATTTGCCAACCTGTGCATAAAAATCCTTTTGTAAAACAGCCCAGCCAAGGTGCTAGTCCTCTGTGCCCCTCGGAAAGAAGGGCCCTTGGATCCAAGTGAAAAGTTGCCAAATGCCTTAAAATCTGGATTCTCTCTCGGTGAGGCAGTGGGTGGGAGCGAGAGGAGGAGGAGGCCCAGGGAAGGAGGCAGCTTTGTTGCCCGAGACGAGGCTGCTCAGCGGCAGGTACACGACTTGGCAATCATGTCCTCGTACACCTTGAACAGGATGTTGTTATTCTGCTCAATCATCAGGACGCCCACGGGGCTGTACTCGTAGGGCACGCAGGAGGGGCGAGGGATGTTCGGGTCCACAAACTCGTTGATCAGGTTCTGGACGATGGCATGGTTGGGGGAGTGGTACCCGTAGCGCAGCACCCGGGGGCAGGTCCCCTTGCAGTACTGAGGCCGGTACGAGTGGGGGGCGATGATCCAGTGGTCCCAGCCCAGCTGGCGGAAAGTCACACGCAGGGGGTAGAGGGCACACTCGTTCTGCTTGGCGCTGGGGGGCCGGCGGCTGTAGCGGGGCTGGTCCGGGTCCGGTTTCTCAGCCCGGCGTATCCTGTGGACAATGGCAGAGCTTTGGGGGAGCTCCCCTCGCCCGGGGGCCCGGAGGGATTTCCAAGTGTCGTTGAGGTAGAGCAGCAAGAAAGGATCCTCCAGGGAGGGGGGGCTTCGCCCACCAGGCCCGCGGCGAGAGCCCCAGGCCCATTCCAGGAAGGCGCAGGCGTGATGCAGGCGGAGCAGGTGGCTGTTCTGGGCAGCCCAGGACCACAGCTGGAGGTGCGCGGAGAGATCCAGCTCGACCCAACTGTCCCCAGCAGGCGTGGCGGTGGAGTTCTTCAGCAAAGCCGGGCTGACCGTCACCTGCGGCGGGGCGCTTCCACCAGGGAGCGGGGTGGCTGTGCACCAGAGGGGGCCGTGAGACGAGGATGGACGTTGAGCGTAGACAGCAACGGCTCTGACCAGGCGCTGGGCTGGCGCTTGTACTTCCAGGCGATAGTCAAGGGCCCAGATGAACCAGGGGCCTGCTGGTAGAAAGAAGGAGTCAGAACTGGACAGTGGTGGGTTTCAAATTTTTTTAGAACCTCTTCTGTAGGTGTGGCCTGCTTTGTGGGAGTGGCGTGCTGGCCATATGACCAGGTAGGAGTGGCTTTCCAGACATGTGGCCGAGTGGGAGTGGCTTGGCAGTCATGTGACTGGGTGGGCATGGCCAACTTGTAAAATGTGGTGAAACTCACTTAACAACGCTCTTGCTTAGCAACCAAAATGTTGGCTCAGAAACTATGGCATTTGAAGCACACAAGTCTTAAAGCTGTCAAGTTACAAGACACCGCAAGGGTGTTCAAACTTGATAGCTTTAAGACTTGTGGACTTCAACTCCCAGAATTCCTCCTCCAGTCATGTTGGCTCAGGAACTCTGGCATTGAAGTGTGCAAGTCTTAAAGCTGTCAAGTTACCAGACCCTTGCACCCCTAACCCTTTGGGGAAAAAAACCTCAGGGGTGTTCAAACTTGACAGCTTTAAGACTTGTGGACTCAACTCCCAGAATTCCTCCTCCAGTCATGTTGGCTCAGGAACTCTGGCATTGAAGTGCAAGTCTTAAAGCTGTCAAGTTACAAAACCCTTGCACCCCTAACCCTTTAGAAAAAAAAACCACAAGGGTGTTCAAACTTGATAGCTTTAAGACTTGTGGACTTCAACTCCCAGAATTCCTCCTCTCGCTCTTCATCTTGATGATGTGCGGATGGGGGGGGGGAGGGAACTAGAACCTGTTCTAAAAGGCACTGTAGATTTGTGGAACCTCTTCTACAGAAGAGGTTAGAACTGGCAGGAACCCACCCCTGGAACTGGAACAGGAGAAACTACCCTGCCCAAGAGCCCTCCTTAGCCCCTCCCAGCCCCCCAGCCTTACTAAAGAAGACCCCCGCCCATTCTTCTGCGATGCCGCTAATCCAACTCCCCAATGTGGGTGGGCTGCATGCCACTTTTGGGGCATTCACAATTTAAAAAATCATAGAAGCTGCTTTCACCCCAGGACCTGCTGAGCCCCCCACCCTACCCCACCCCAACTCCGAAGGCCTTCGAAGGGGCTACCAGCCCTCGGCCTGGGGGAGGCAGAGCCTTCGGAATAAGGACTCGTGAAAGAGCCCCATTCCAAAAGCTTCCTGCGTGCGAGACAGACGTGCAGCTCATGCCCGCATGCAGAGGGCGGTGCAGGAACGCCCGCCCAAGGAAAGCTCCTTCCCGCTTAGAGGCGATTGGCCAGGGCAGGGCAACCCTAGCCAGGGCGGGCAGTCTGAGCTCCAGGCTGGCAACGTCCCTGCTGCTCGGGCGGCTGCCCCACCCCCGACCGGCTGGGACTCCTCTGGCCAGCTGCGTGCCGGAGAGCGAGCTGAAGGCCAGCAGGCGCCCCTCGGCCTCTCCCAGGGCTTGCCGACTGCCACGCCCTTGCACCGGTCAGTAACGTCGAGCAGGCGCCGAACCCCAGGCTCCCGTAGGAGGCGGCCCCGGAGAGAGTCCCGGCCCCAGCTCACCTGCCCCAACCTGGCGGGCCTTCGCCGAGGGCCGAACCAGGCGGATCGTGTTGCTGGAGAGCCGCTCGTCCCGGCGAGGCTGGCCGTGCCGATCCGCCACGCTCCGGTAGAGGTTCCGCATGTAGCGCAGCGGCTGCCCGCTGACTCGCCTCCGGCTTCGCCCGGGGAGCCAAGATCTGGGGGGCGCCTGGCTCAGCAGCGTTCGGATGAGCGGCAGGGAAGGGGCCCCGGAGGAGGAGGCGGCGGCGGCCGCCTGTGGCTCCAGCGCTTCCCTGGCGCCTTCCAGCGGCTGCGCCAGGCGGAAGAGCAGGGCCAGGAGGAGAGCGGCGCTCCACGGCTTCAGCCCCGACATGCCGGTCCTCCGGCGGCGCTGAGGCGCGGGCTCACAAGGCAGGAGCCGGGGAGCCCAAGGGGAGCATCGTGTCCCGGGGTGGAGGGAAAGCAGGGGTGCGGGCAAGCCTCACCCCCGCAGTCCCATGCTAGGAGCAGCCGCAGCCACAGCCAGCGGGTGGGGCAGCCGGGGGGGCTTCGCCGGCCGAGAGAAGAGAAGCAGCGCACCGCCGTCGGGGGCTCCGTTTAAAGGCGGCCCTTAAAGGGCCGGGGGCTCCTGCTTGCCGGCTAGCGGGGTGGGGGCGGGTGGAGACAGGTGGGCGAGGCGCCGGGGGCTCAGCCCGCTCCTCCTCTGGGAGCGTCTCCCTCGCTTGGCTCGACGGCCTTTCCTTGGGAGAGAAGCCGCTGCCGCAGCCGTCCTACCGCAGACTAAAAGCCTCGGGAAAGGCGGCCCTTCTGGCTGATTGCAAAGCAGCGCCTTCCTCCGCGCATCAAGCCCCGAGCAGGAATGGGAAGTTATACTCAGCTGCCCACCGGGAACTCTGGGATTTGGAGGCCAGCCACATCTGGAAAGCACCCCTGTTCCTCGAGCCGTTTCCGGCTCCCCCCGGTTGCGACGACAGCCGATCTGCTCAAAGCGACGCCTTCGGCATTCTTGACCCACCGAAGAAGGGGAGCCGCGTCTCCCCGGGGTTGCCTTTGCTGGCGCTTACTCTCCGTTCGTGGGGCCCAATAACCCCACTTTGCCTGGCTCAGCCACAGTTGAGGCCAACGGCTCTGAAGGCCTCGCGGGAATCAGCAGACGCAGAAAGGCCGGGGGTCCTGGCTTGCCTGCAGAGGGCCCGATTCCACTGGCCCAGCTGCCTGGACTCAATGCCCCTGTGGTCCAGTGTGCCAGGCTTCTATTCATCTTCTTTATTGGAAACGCAGAATAAATTATTTTGTGCTAGCCGGCCTCTTCCCTCTCTGTCCTCCTCCACCTTCTGCAACTTCAGCTAAGCCCACTTTGATCCTCAAAACATGATGCCAAGAAACCATAAGCCTTTATCATTTTGTGCAGAGTTTTTGCTGGCTTGGTGAAGAAGGGGGCACGTTTGTGTTTTCTGTATATCAATTTGAATGAAGTGGCACCTTTTCATGATTTGTTTTCAGCGTTGGCTTCTGCGGGGTGATTAAAAACTACCCTGCACACAAACCACGGGCAATGATAATTTGTTGGTGGTTTAGGCCTAAATAAATTCATTATGTATTTAAGGCCTTATGCAGAACAGTTCGGCGGCTCGAATCCCTAGCGCCGCGTAACAGAGTGAGCTCCCGCTACTTGTCCCAGCTTCTGCCAACCTAGCAGTTCGAAAGCATGTAAAAATGCAAGTAGAAAAATAGGAACCACCTTTGGTGGNGTGGCTTGGTGGGCGTGGCAGGGGAAGGATACTGCAAAATTCCCATTCCCACCCCACTCTGGGGCCAGCCAGAGGTGGCATTTGCCGGTTCTCAGAACTACTCAAATTTTACACTACCGGTTCTCCCGAAGCTGCTGAATTTCACCCCTGCTTCCTAACCTCCGCCCAGTGGGCTCTGCCACCGGCTGTCCCAGCGCCTCCTGGCTGCCTCCTGCCCCATGGCATCCCTTCTGGGCTTGCTCTGCCAGCCTCCCTTCCCTTGCAGTTTGGGGAGCAGGGGAGCCTGGCATTGCTTCAGTCCTGCCCATTCATGAGGGGAGAAGGGTCTCTGGCCCCTCTTTCTCCCTTGGGAAAGGAGCTCCCCTCCCCACCAGTGGATAACCTTCCCCCAGAGCCTCTAACAGATTTCTGTGGAGCCATAATCCCCTGGCATGTAACATCCGCCACCTGTGGCACAAGGAAAGTTAGAAGACACGCCCTTCCCGGGAGACTCTACCGCAAGGGCTGCTCTGAGAGGAGGGGGGGGGCAACTGATGAGAAAGTGCGTGTGGTGTGCCCCCTCCCCGCCTGTCCGGGAAGCCCACGAGGAAGGGGGGGGGGACGGTAAAGTCTGTAGAGGCAGGTGCTTTCATCATTCTCTTCACCTTCCGGGAGCCCCGGGCGCGTCTTAAGCAAGCGGCGGGGCGTTAGAGCAAGCGGCGTCCAGGGGGTGGCTTTGCAAGACGCCTTGGGAGTGGAGGGGCGGACGGAGTAAAGGGCAGCTCCGGAGTCGCTCCATGGTACAGCGAGAGGGGTGTCCCAGACCCCGGAGCCCCCTCTGTGCCCAAAGCCTCCTAGTCCGAGGAGCGGAGGGCAACTTCGGGCAGCGCTTTGGGGGCTGGGAACCGGAGGCTGCGCGGCGCCCGAACCCCCCGACGGCTGAGACTGGGTAGAGGTGGGGGGGAGGCTGCCCGCCCGGAGGGTCCCCGGCGAGGGTGCGGTTGCCAAGCTGCCCCCGAGGTCTCACCTGGTGCCCGAGGACGGTCTGCTGCACCAAGCGGGCGTAGCCGTCGAGCCGCACCCCGGAGTTGCTCCTGCTCCGCATGGCTGCGTTCCTTCAGTCGCCGCGGTTGCCTCTCCGGAGCCCGCAGCTCCGCCGTTTGTCCGGCCCGGCTCGCCCCGCCCCGCCCTCTTTACTGGCACCTGCTGGAGGGGAGGGGCCGCCAGCTGGAAGTCCCCGCCCTGCCGGAGAAAGGGGGAACTACGTCTGCCGGGCGGTCCTGGAAGCCACGTAGCCAGGAGGCTTCGCCTTCCCGCTGGCTTTGGGGGCGGAGGACGAAGCCCTCCCCCACAGCGAAAGAGGGGGAACGAGGAGCCCCCGATGTAGCGAAGACCTGTTTCCAGCGGCTTGGGGGGAAGCGGCCTGTGGCGGCCCCCGAAAACTAGCGCTCTGCCAGGACCGGCCGCTTCCAGCGCTTTTTCGGAAGTTTACTTCTTGCGGGCCGGCGGGGAGGAGGCGCGCGCCCCCTGCTGCCCAGAGCGGGAGCGGCACTTTTCCTCGCGAAGAAGATTGAGAATCTTCTAGGCTGGTGGGTGGCCAAGCTTGGGAGCTTTAAGACTTGTGGACTTCAACTCCCAGAATTCCCCTGGGCTGGGGAATTTTGGGAGTTGAAGTCCACAAATCTTAAAGTTCCCAAGTTATGCTGGCTGGGGAATTCTGGGAGTTGAAGTCCACAAGTCTTAAAGTTCCCAAGCTATGCTGGCTGGGGAATTCTGGGACTTGAAGTCCACAAGTCTTAAAGTTCCCATGTTTGGACACCCCTGTTCTAAGGCTCTCAGCTGGCAACAATCTTGACCTCTCCCACAGTTGGGGCACTTACAGGGCAAGGCGCCGAAGGGCGGGCAAGGCCAGAGAGGGAAGAACAGGAGGGTCCAGGTTACCTCTAAGCGAGGAGTCGAGCAGGACTGAGAGGGTGCCAGTGAAGCCATTGGTAATTCTGGTTTCCATGTCAAGAGTTCTGGGAGAGATGAACTGCAGGGCTATATTTTTGGCTGGGCCTATTTTCAAAACCCTGCCCTTGGGCAATGGGAGCTCATGAACTCTGGTGGTGGTAGTCTTAAGTCACAAAATCATGTCCAACCCATTGTGACCCCCATGGACAATGTTCCTCCAGGCCTTCCCGTCCTCTACTATCCCCTGGAGTCCATTGAAGCTCACGCCGACTGCTTCGGTGACTCCATCCAGCCACCTCCTTCTCTGTCGCCCCCTTCTTCTCTTGCCCTCCATCGTTCCCAGCATGAGGCTCTTCTCCAGGGAGTCCTTCTTCCTTCTCATTAAGTGGCCAAAGTATGTGAGTTTCATCATTGGTGTAGCAGTGGTAAAAATCAGGCTCCATTGATCCGACAAAGGATAATTGGGGTGTGAAGCAGGAGGAAGAGTCCCTCTTACGGACCACCAATAGCAATAGCAATAGCAA